GATATAGTTTATGTTCTTTCTCGATGAAGAATTTGCACATTATTCTATGCACCTTTAGAATACCATTATCATGCCTATGCACTCTTCTACAGGACGAAACTAATAGTTAAAGAATATCAACATGACTTTAATACTTAAATATTATTTTTATAAGGTTCAAATATTCAATGGTAATTGATTTTGAATCGGTGTTATGATATAGAATTATAAAAAAAAAAATATATATAGTAATAAAATAATAGGATTTAATGAAAAATAAAAATGAAATAGGGATTTAAAGCAAAATTAAGGGAGTGGATTAGCGGAAGTTCTTAAAGTAAACGGCAGTTAGAGTCGGAGACGACGGTGACGGAAACGCATCGCATTGGTATTCGCGTCATTTCTCAACGGCCTTAACCTAACCACACAAAACTTCAACAGCCAATCTCTCTCTTCCATATAAACCCCTCTTTCTCTCTCCCCTTTCACTTCACACCAACCACCACTCTCTCCGCTCAAATTTCCCTCTTCACTTCTTCAATATGAGTTCCAAGATCTGTAGATCTGCTTCTAGAGCCGCCAGGTCTATCCTCGCCGCTTCACGGACCTCTCGCTCTTATTCCGCTGGTAATATCGTTTGTATTTGATTCATCTTTGTTTTTTTATTGTCTTGTTTCTGATCCGGTTTTTGTTTGTTCATTTGCAAAATATTCCACCTGAAATGGATGGATCTAAAAGTAATACTGTTATATAGAAATATATTTGAGCTAGTTTCTGTTTTAGGAAGTATTATTTGCTTTTGGATTTCACTTTCGGTTTTCTTTTTTGTCTCTAATAAACTTTTGGAAATCAAGGAAAGATGTAAAAAGATTTAGGAAGTTCACATTAACTTGAAAATAGTTTGTATATAAATGGGTGATCTGTTGAGCAAATAATTGTATTTGCTCAACAGAAATTTAACAAAGTACAACTCAATATTTACCAAGGTAACTGAATTACAAATAAAGGTAAGAGCATCTCGTGAGATGCATTGACAGTCTCTGTGCTGTATAGACGGTGATTGTGAGCGAGTTACTATGGAGAATTGAAATTGGGAGATTGTAGCTTCGTGTTTCAATGTCGGTTTTGTTTATGTTACAATGTTGGAGATAGTTTGCACGGACGCGGGATCTATTGGTTCATTTATGCATGTATTTTCAACCTGAAATGCCTGAATCTCTGTTTTATGACTGTTTTATCGGTTTTTCCGAGTAGATTTCGGTTTTTGGGAAGCGCGATTTGCTGTGTATCCGATGTCGCTTTTTGTTTGCTTCTATGCGTATTAGAAAGACTGTGAACGAATGGCTCCGACTAATTGAAATGAGAAATTTTAGCTTCGTATTTCGATGTCGATTTTGTTTATGTGCATGCGTTGTGGACTGAATGTGAATTACTCCAACTTATCGAAATGAAAACTAACTGTAGTTTGTGTTGGCTCAATGGCAGGTGGAAGAGTCGTAGGTTCCGCTGCTGCAGTGACGCTAAGGGAAAAGTCCTCTTCTCTTGCTTCAATCTATGAGAATGCCGGTTCAGCGTACGCATCTAGAGGATGGATTTCAGGATTTCTTGCCCTTCCTGCCGCAGGTTCAGTCGACATAACTCTTATAATATACCTATCTTGATTCTGGGAAACAATTTCTTCTATTCGATGGGGTAGAATTAGATTTCTGGATCCGACATACCTTCTCTGTAATGAAAATAATCTTAAACGTCGGCTTTTACATCAAAAATTAAATTTTAGAAGAAATATAATCCGACTTCCTTAAAAGTTCATCAGAATAAAAATGGCTAATGTTGGTGTGAGTAATTGTTCAACGATGTAAAGATGGGGACGGTGCCAACCCTTTTTCTTTTCCTCCACCCTCTCCCAGTATCTCGATTCACCACCGTCCTAACAATCTTTTTTCTTTTAATGTAGCTTACATGCTCCAGGAGCAGGAAGCACATGCTGCAGAGGTAATATACTAAACATGAATTCTTTCTTCTCGTTTACCTCATCCTTTTTGAAGATCATTATTACACTACACTTACGAGCTTTCGCATAACTTCTCGCAGTTCGAGCGGACCTTTATAGCCATCAAGCCAGATGGCGTACAAAGAGGGCTGGTAAGACTAAACTATCCTTGCGCCGTTTTTCTTAATGCCAATTCTGATTTGATATTTGACATCTATATTTTATTACACTTACATCTGGTATTGGCATCCAAGATTTCTGTTATTCCTCAGCGATCAATTCCAGCCCTATAAGGATAAATTCCAAAAAAAAAGAAAAAAAAAGAACCTTCTGTTACTCTGTATTGATTGTTACTTTTTGACTGATTGGGAAGGGTGTTCGTATATTTATCTGATCCAATACTTGTACTATGTAACAGATAGCAGAAATCATATCACGTTTTGAGAGGAAAGGATTTAAACTTGTAGGCATTAAAGTTATTATTCCTTCAAAGGAATTTGCTCAGAGGCATTATCATGATCTGAAGGAAAGACCCTTCTTTAATGGCCTCTGTGAATTTCTTAGCTCTGGCCCCGTCATCGCAATGGTCAGTAAGAACCAGAAATTTCTGTGTTTAACTGCAACCGCTTTTGAGCTTGGATGAACCTTAAGTTTTTTAATTCTACAGGTTTGGGAAGGTGAGGGAGTGATCAGATATGGACGAAAACTTATTGGAGCAACAGATCCACAGAAATCTGAGCCCGGAACCATTAGAGGAGATCTAGCTGTTATTGTTGGCAGGTAATGCCTTATCTTCAACTTACTCCATAGTCATTTGGTGAAGATAATTAGGACACATTCAAGGAAATGAAACAGAGCATGAGAATTACTCTCTACATCAACTTCCCCAATTACTTCAGCATAACTCATTTCTCCAATTTGAACATCTCACTCCAAAATCTAAATATTAGAAGACGTGGTGTTGCTTTAAAAAATCAAGATTATCATTCGTGCATTTCATCATTCATGGGGATTCTCATTTCAAACATTGAAATATATCAAAATTTAATCGATTGAAAAACTTTCAGTTCCCAAACTTCATGGAAAGTAATAATTCGCTCTTAAAACTTTAGGTTGTAACACTTCCGTCCATTTTATTCACTTAACGTTAATATATAATAACCATGTTTATTCTTCGTATCCTATAAACCAATGAACCAAAGACCATATACGTTTTAGAAGACACTGGCCAATGATTCCTATTGGTCAACCTATATCTTAGTTTACTTGTGAATTAATTTTGAATAATGATAATACAGGATTGAGAGGTGATCTTAATCTAGTTTGATTGAAATATATATGCACAGGAACATCATCCATGGAAGCGATGGACCAGAGACTGCCATAGATGAGATCAAGTTGTGGTTCGAACCAGAGGAATTGGTTAAATACACAAGTAACTCAGAGAAATGGGTGTATGGAGACTGATGAGTTTTCCTTTCCCTCTTTTTTCTGTTAAGCTTCTTTATACTCGAGGTAGGCAACAGCACCCGTGAAGAGCGGCGGGTATTTTCAGAATTCTGCGAATAAAATATGTCCTGTGCTGAGACGAGGCTATGGGCTCATCCTTCCACAGTGCGAAAAACAAATAGTTTTTGAGAGTCTTACTTGTGACAAACAGTTGGTACAACTTCGTTTCTGAGATAATAAGCAGATCTTGATTCCTTCTTTATTGCAACTTTCTCTTTCCATTTTCTTTTGTACTCATATTATATTAGGGGGAGAAGTTCATGAAGATTTCATAATTTCTTTTCATGTGCATTTTAGGATAATTATCTGGTTATGTTGTTAAATTGTAGCAGCAATAAGTGATTAATTAGTTATAGGAAATGAGAAGCACTAAATGAAAAGTCAATAAAGTAATATCAAATTTTGAACTCAATGCGAGAGGATTAGTTTTTTCCTCTCTATAAGCAGATGCCTAATATACACGAGTGTTTGTGTCAACATGTTCTGTTCAACTTTTAAATTTATACTTCAAATATGTCAAAAGGTATATATTTACCTTCTAAATTATATTTATAATATGCATACTCAATTTTTAAAATGATTTTAAAATCTGAAAATTTAACTACTTTTTTTAAATATCAATATAAAAATATATAAATTTGAACCTAATTTGGTGGTAGTTATGTCCCTCCATCAAACATGAAACGAAACATGAAACATGAGACCCGTTTTAATTTTATTAAGAATTAAAAAAATATTAAATATACTAAATATAAGAGCAAAATAAAACATTGAATATAAGAGCAGCAAGGAGAAGTTCATCCACATTTGGATTTTGACTTAAACTAAAATTCCTATTTTTTTTTAGAGGTTTATGTTAGAATTATGTATTTGAATATCTAAAAATTCTATTTTTAGAGATTTGAATTTTGACTTAACTAAAAATTTTATTTTTAGAGATTATGTTAGAATTATATATTTGAATATGAATTTTTAGAGATTATTTGAATATCTTATATATTAAGATATAGTATCTATAAGATATATATGATAAAATATATTTAACTAATCTGAATTTAAATTTCAAATATATATTTTTATATTTTAGGTATATTGTATATTAATTATTTTAATATGTAATGTATTTTTAAATATATTTTTATATATCTATTAGATACTTGTAACTAAATTTTGTAATTTATCTAAATAATGAATGGATAGGAGTAATTTGTGCAAAATTTTAAAAAATTTAAATCTAATTTAACCAAATCTAATTTTAACTATTAAAGTTTTGCCACTCAAAAATATTGAATGGTCGACACACCCAAATCTAATGACGTGTCACAATCTAAGTGGTTGCATTGAAAATGCTGAGCTGTCATCTTACCCCATTACGCCAAATTCGGGCTGCCCGCAAAGATAAGCAATATCTCCGTATTTCCAGCTATGGCGGACTCCAAATCCCAATCAAACATCCTTTATATTATTTCACTGAAACGACGTCGCTGCTTTCCCTATATATGCCCCTCCTTCGCCTTACTTCCCATCCAAGTCTCCAGTTCCTTCCGCGTTCATTAATCGACTCTCCCACGAAGCTCAGGGATCTTTCGTCGAGGAATTTCTCAAGTTCTCTGCCCTAATCTTTCTCTGGTGTTTCTACGATCGATTTCTCGAGCGACGAATTATCTTATCATCAAGAGGTTAGTTCTTTATTATCTGTTTGGTTCTATCATTACGTCGATGGAAACCCTAGATGTTTGTTTGCGATTTTTTGGTTGTTGGTTGCTGTTCGATGTTTTGGGGGAGACGTAGTGGGGTTGTTATCCTCTTAAGTTGTGTACGAATATGGTATGAGGAGATTTCTTGGTTTTGTTGGTGTTTTATCGTCGAGGATGTGGAGATTACTTGGATTCTTTTTCAGTGGAAACTTAATCAGCGATTATTTTCCTCCATTTATTTTTTTGTCATGATTTAATTTCTTTTTCTTCCGGGTTCCTTCGAGTTTCTTGAGGCCTTGTAAGTTTATTGTATTTATTGACAACTTTTAATTCTGAAACTCATACAGGAACCTGATCGTTTTCTTGAGTTTTCAGAGGTAATTTGTCAATTTATTCAGTAGGCATCTATTAATTATTTTTTTAAACGTACCGTTTCGAGGCAAACCTTGTTTTGTGGACTTTAGACCTATAAGCTATCTGAGCCACCTTGTTATTTAATGTTTTTTCTCTTTAGGATGTGTCCTTATTGATCTAATGCCAAATTTATTCCAATTGTTTCTTTCCTTGGTTCACCAGTAACACTCATTTTTTTAATCTTATATTAGATGGCGACTAAACCACTTACTACTGAAGCAATTGCCATAACTGAGAAGAAGATGGACATGGCTTTAGGTTGGCCTTCAAATTCTTGCATCGGTTTCTCCGTTTATTTGAAAATTTATTGAGTTTTCTTTTTCTACTTCTTTTTGTTGAAATAGACGACATTATCAAGATGTCCAAAAATACTGGAAATAAAGGAAGGAAGCAAAGAAGGTTTCCGGTAAGAACCTGTTTTCTTTTGCATGCGTTTAACCCGAGCAATTTATTGTTGAAATTGGAAGTTTCCTTTTTATTATTATCTAATAATGATTCGTCTTTTATATGCCAGAACAAAATGCAGAAATTTCCAAATAACGCCACTCAGGATAGACCTAGGAAGTTGCAGCGATTCATGGACGCTAGAACCTCTCTTAGACAGGTTTGTACAGTTATTCAACTTGATTATCATTTATTTTACTTATTTTGTATGACTGGTCCTGAATTTTCATTTTATTTAGGGGGCTTTTGCCAAAAGGAGGTCAAATTTTCAAGGGAATCAGTTTGCATTGGCAACCGAGGTTGCAAGAAAGGCTGCAGTTGCTCCTATTCGGCCTAGAGCCTTTAACCGTTGGGTGCCCAATTGGAAGAAGACAAGGTATTGTCTGTGCTTATTGCTAGTCTACGCAAGCTTCTCATTGTGAATTATGATTATACTTTTTACTCCAATTCTAATTTAGAAACGAACAGTTGAATTTGGTGGATGGTTGGTGTGATGTGATATTTCATGTTATGGCAGGTAAATTGCGTTTATGAAAAATTGGTGACTTCTACAATGTCCATCAAGTTTTACTATATGAAGTTAGCGCAGTAATTTGTTGGTTGGAACAACTGTGTGATAGTTTTGCTTCAACCAGTTAAAATGGAGTGGGGAGTATTTCCACTTATTTCATTTCTTCCATGCTGCCTGGGAATTGATTCTGCTTTATCTTCTTAAGTTTGGTTTTGGAATTCATCGATAGTCTTTTGGTTTTCTGATGAGTAAGTTGTTGATGGGATTGTTACAGCAAGTGGGACAAAAGTGGGAAAATTTGAATGAAATTGACTGCTGCACCATCTGGAAAAAAGTCTAAAAATAGCTTTTGTGTGTTTTGAGTTTTTGCTCCTTATTAAATGTGGTGATTGTCTTGGATCACTCAATTCTTCATAGACACAACGGTAGAGGAGCCTCAGCCTGTTACCCTTTGGTTGAGGATGTTGAATCTGCTTTGTAACATGTGATGTTTTAACACACCAGAGGACTATTCCACAATAGGCTTGTTCACCATGCTCAATGTCTGCTGTGGTCAATTTCCATTCCTGGTGGATGACAATTGCCATATCTCTTTATGCTTTCATTATTTCCTGCACAGAGCCAAGGGGCTGTGGTGATCTTGAATTTACGCTTCTTTGTAACCATTCTAGTGCACTGTCTACTAGTTTCCTTGATTCCTCATGCGGTTCCCTTTTCATCCACCATCACATCCTGGAAATATTAGCCAGCCCTTCAACTACCTTGTTTTGACAAATTTAAGTTCACTTCTTGACCAGCCATAGAACTGCAAATGACTGGAAAATTTTTTACTTCTGAACCAAATGCTTCTATCAAACTTTTCTAGTCAGCTTGGCCAGGGGAAGTTGCTGTTTCATCATCTTTAATTGATCCTTGAGGGTGGAATCGAAATTTTGCTTACTGCAAGGTCGATTCCAGTAGTAATTTTGTGGTAAAAGTGCTGAGAAAAATTATGAATGGTTAGTGAAAATATGTTGAACAGTGGCATTTATGGCCTTCTTCTGTGAGGTATTATGTGTAGATTTTGGGGTCTAGTCAGTGGAATACCCTAGTTCTGCAGAAGTTCTTCATGCTGCTTATATCATATCCTGGTTGAAGCCTCCATTTTCTTGTTCAAGTTCAGATATTCTGTTCAGATATTTTGGTGATTGATTTGAGGTTTTGGGTGTGTCTATGTTACCGGAAAGTGCTTTTTTGGATCCAATCAAGCGTAACTATGAGCTGATTCACATTTTTTTGATGAGTGCTTCTCCTGATCTGGTTTGTGTTTTATTTCCATTGTTGGGTTCGGTTTGAATTTGCTTACGAGGTAAGGATTCTCTATCTGCCATCATACTCACGCGATGACATGTTGAAGATTATTGGTGTTTGTGAAATTCAGATATGGATACTTGTTTGACTAGCAGGTCTGAATATAAATGATATTTTTTCTGTTCCTTCAACCATTTGAATAATTCTTTGTATAGGGTTGAAGCTCCACCCGTTCAGAGAAAGCCATTTAATAATGGAACCTTCATTCCCAAGATAGCTGCACCAGTCCAGACGCAAACAAATGCTACACCGAGACAGAAGCCACAAACCCTCGACTCACTGTTTGCCAACATGAAGGAACAGAGATTGAGGGTGTTGTCGCAGCGACAGAATGGCGGTGCACAACAACGGAATGGTGCTCGCCAGCAAAGACCTCCGTGGGGAAGAGGCCGTATTGGTAACTGAAGAATGAATGAAGACACAACAAACCTCGTACACACGATGGATTTTATTAGGGGGAAATGCAGATGTCCGATAGATATAGGTTGATAGTGGATTAGAGAATCCAGTTGTTTCTTTGTCATTATGTTTAATCCATCCAAACGCTTGTTCTTTTACCAGTTTTCTAGCTTCATTATGTACCCAAGACGATATAGATTTGTACCTGCAGTCAGTTCATGTAAAGTTCTTTTCTTTTTCCTTCCCTTTTTTTTTTCTTGCTTCATGGCCTAATTTCCCAACCTGTTCCGTGTTCTATTTCATTGGCTAATGCAGTGTAACGTTACTTAGTTTCATTGTCTTTGTCTATTATACTTGGTGTTTCATTGTCTTTATCTATTATACTTGGTGTCTAGCCTCATATCGCGTCTTCCTTGCTTGTCTTTATTTATTATACTATTCCCGTGATGTACCCACTGATATTAGGGATCTTTTATTGTGACAGAGATGGGAAAGAGAGGAAGATTCATGATTCTGTTAAAAAGAAAGTTACAAGATTCTCACCTTTTTATCACTAAATAGGGAATGGATTATTCTTATTCATCTTGTGATGATGAAAGGCCAATGGAATTTTGAGCTTCAGCTTAGTTTATAGGCTATATAGCACACCAACCAAATCTTCTATACCTCCTTTCATTCTTCTTTATTTTCCTTGAAAAGAAAACCCACAAATTCTGAGCTAGCTTTGATTCTTTCTGTTTTCATATCAGTTGTTACACATCAGTTTTATTTTGGCTTGGCTTTGGCTCACCCACCAGAGATGATCATGTGCTTTTAAAATTAAACAATCTTTCATTTTCATGTCCTAATGAGGTCCTCGATTATGTCATAAAGCTAACAATGCCACAAGTTGCTGTTAGTTACAGAAAAAAGGAAGGAACCTTGCAAAAGGGAGAGAAAAAGAAAGAAAATAGAAAGAAGAAAAAACAGAACATTTTTTCTCATTCTGTCATTCAGTTCAGCTAAACTTGTATAAATTTGTTCTCCATTTCCAAACCTTTCTTCTTCACCCATCTCAACACTTCTTTTGATTAGCTTTTGTTCTTCAATTTCTCGTATGGTCATGGCCAAATCTATTCTTGTCACTGGTGGCGCTGGCTACATTGGAACCCACACTGTTCTTCAGCTCCTTCTCGGTGGTTACCGCACCGTCATCGTCGATAACTTGGACAACTCCTCTGAAATCGCTGTTCGTCGGGTCAAGGAGCTCGCCGGCGACCTCGGAAAAAACCTTTCCTTTCATAAGGTTGCCATTTCAGTTCTCAATTTGTTGTTTTTGTCTTTCATGTTTATCTCTTGAAACGCGTTTTGTTTTATAGCTGGACCTCCGGGACAAACGAGCTCTGGAGAAAGTGTTTGCTTCAACACCGTAAGAAACCATTGCTTCAACCTAATAAGCCTTTGCAATTCTTAGCTAATCGATGATCATCGCAGATTTGATGCTGTTATTCACTTTGCTGGACTGAAAGCAGTGGGCGAAAGTGTACAAAAACCATTGCTTTACTATGACAACAACTTAGTTGGAACCATAACTTTATTGGAAACCATGGCAGCCTATGGGTGCAAGAAGGTGTTTTCCTCTTTCTTTTTCTCTTCACATTGAAGCTGTTCGTCTCTAAAATTAACATCTTCGACATCTCAGCTGGTCTTCTCATCTTCAGCCACCGTTTATGGTTGGCCAAAGGAGGTACCATGTACAGAGGAATTCCCTCTGTCTGCAGCCAACCCATATGGGCGAACCAAGGTAGGCAACAAACACCTCTTAACACCCAACCCTTGTTGGGATTGATGGTAACATGATTCTGTTTCAGCTGTTCATAGAAGAAATGTGTCGTGACATTTACGGTTCAGACTCTGAATGGAAAATCATATTGCTGAGATACTTCAACCCAGTGGGAGCACACCCTAGTGGGTTTATTGGTGAGGACCCCCGAGGAATCCCAAACAATCTCATGCCCTTTGTTCAGCAAGTGGCTGTTGGCAGGCGGCCTGCGTTGACAGTGTTTGGAACTGACTATTCAACAAAAGATGGAACTGGAGTGAGTTGTTTTTATGACCACGATGGTTGGTTGCATAGGAAGATGATGATTGAACAATTTATTTAATGTGGGTTGTTTGCAGGTGCGTGATTACATTCATGTGGTTGATTTGGCTGATGGACATATTGCTGCAGTGCGCAAGCTTGATGCGGCTGGTTTAGGCTGTGAAGTTTACAATTTGGGAACTGGAAAGGGTACTTCGGTTTTGGAGATGGTTGCAGCCTTTGAAAAGGCATCTGGAAAGGTATGCTTTTGCTGTTTCTTTCTTCCTTCCTTCCTTTCTTCATGCCTCTAATTCAGTGGTTAATTCCTCTGTTGCAGAAAATTCCTCTTGTGATGGCTGAACGTCGACCTGGTGATGCTGAAGTCGTCTATGCATCAACGCACAAAGCTGAAAAGGAGTTGAATTGGAAGTATGTCTCACTGTTTGTTCTATGTTTATGTTTATATTCACTGTCTATTCCACCGCTAGCAGATATTGTCCGTTGTGAACTTTTCCTTCTAGATTTCCCTTCGAGGTTTTTAAAATGCGTTTGCTAGGGAGAGAATTCCACGCCCTTAAATGTTTTGTTCTCCTCTCCAACTGATGTGAGATCTTATAATCCACCCCTTTTCGGGGTCCAGTGTTTTCGCTGGCACTCATTTCTCTTCGATCGATGTGAGATCTCACAATTCACCTCCTTTCGAGGTCTAGTATCCTTCCTGGCCATTGTACGATGTCTACCCTACTTTGGGGCCAGCGTCCTCGCTGGCACTTGTTCCTCTTTCCAATCGATGTGTGATCTCACAATTCACCTCCTTACGAGAATCAACATCCTTGCTGGTCATCGTCTGGTGTCTACCCTACTTCGAGGATCAACGCCCTCGCTAGCACTTGTTCCTCTCTTCGATCGGTGTGGGATCTCACAATTCACCTCCTTTTGAGGCCCAACATTCTTGTTGGCCACCATCTGGTGTCTACCCCCTTCGAGGCTCAACGACCTCGCTGGCACACCGTCTGGTGTCTGGCTCTAATGCCATTTGTAACTACCCAAGACCATCGCTAACAGATACTGTCTTCTTTGGACTTTCCCTTTTGGACTTCCCCTCAAGATTTTTAAAACGCTTTGCTAAGGAAAGGTTTGCACACGCTTACAAAGAATGTTTTGTTCCCCTCTCGAACTAATGTGGAATCTCACATGTTTCTTTTACGTCATGTCAAGTGGATTTAGCTTACTTTCACTCAAATAAATTGGTAACTAGTTCATCAAAAACACCTATGCTCCTTGTTCGAGCAGACATATAATGTTATGTGTTGGATATAACGTTAAAATTTATGAGTTCTAATGTTCCATGAAAGTTAGGTGTAGTAAAAAACATCATCTTACAGTTCCATTTGTGAATGCAGAGCTAAGTATGGCATCGAGGAGATGTGCAAGGATCAGTGGAACTGGGCCAGCAAGAATCCCTATGGCTATCAATCTCCAAACGCCAACTGATGGCTTGCTCTCTAGGGGCCATCGATTAAACCTCGAACCCTTTTGCATTACTCTTACTTATCCTCTTAGATGTACGTTCGTGTTACGCACTATAAAACTCTTGGTCGGAGTTGATCATTGCTGAGTTATTGATATTTTCAAGATTATTTAATAAAAAAGCTCTATTGCTTCTTTTACGGTTTGTTCTAAACTTTGAATCGAAAGTCCCCATTGAAAACGATATTGAGACAACGAATGGAATTGGAATTAGTCCATTGCTATGGATGTGCCGTTGAGAGGTGTGGAATGGTTTAAATTTGAATTTGAATGGGTTTTCTTATAAAGCCAAACACAAAAAAGGGCTTTAAAGGGAGTGGTGGAGCCCTCCAACGGTTCAAAATATTTGAATCTTGGCACCCTTCTTTAACATTGGTTGACTTTGACTATTTTAATTATGTCTTTTTATATGTATAAAAAATTAAATGTAAATTAATATTTTGTAAGTTTAATTAATATACAATCAATTTTACTAAACGCTAAGAACAGTTGAAATTGCCTTGTAATCATTTTTTAATTTTGGGGAATATATTGGATTTTAAGTTTTTATTCTTCATAAATGAACTTTTATGAAATTATTCTTTTTACTTTTTATTTTTTATTTTCCTTTTCTTTTCTAAGAACCAAA